ATTGATATATTAACAATAAATTAAGGTAAACACATCGTGTTTGGACTCATTTTAAAGCATTTTTAGTTTTCTTTCATTTCCCAACATCTATTTTGTATAAAAAAATTAACGATTTAAGGATATAAATGAAGAAAGTAAACTTAAAGATCATTAAAAATCCGTTAATTTAATACTAAACTCGACATATTTCTGATAAAAATTAAAAAAGTTAGGTTAAGAACTGTCAACTGTCAAATTTTTTTGTTTAATTGATATATCAACGATAAATAAAGGTAAATGCATCGAGTTTGGACTCATTTTAAAGCATTTTTCGTTTTCTTTCATTTCCCAACATATATTTTAAATAAAAAAATTATCTAAAAAAATCAACAATTTAAGGATATAACAAAGAACGTAATCTTAAAGATCATTAAAAATCCGTTAATTTAATACCAAACTCGATATATTTCCGATAAAAATTAAAAAAGTTATGTTAAGAACTGTCAACTGTCAAATTTTTTTTGTTTAATTGATATAGCAACAAATAAAGGTAAATACATCGAGTTTGGACTCATTTTAAAGCATTTTTAGTTTCCTTTCATTTCCCAACATTTATTTTGAATAAAAAAATTTTCTAAAAAAACCAACGATTTAAGGATAAAAGAAAGAACGTAATCTTAAAGATCATTAAAAATCCGTTAATTTAATACCAAACTCGACATATTTCCGATAAAAATCAAAAAAAGTTAGGTTAAGAACTGTCAACTGTCAATTTTTTTTTTGTTTAATTGATTTATCAAGAATAAATAAAGGTAAATGCATCGAGTTTGGGCTCATTTTAAAGCATTTTTAGTTTCCTTTCATCTCCCAACATCTATTTTGAATAAAAAATTATTTTAAAAAAACTAACGATTAAAGGACATAACAAAGAAGATTTTAGATGCCATAATTTGGGACAGAGGGAGTATTTATTTAATTTATTTTAAAATAAAGTTTAGTACTTACATATCCATCATCGGAGACTTTAAATTTTTATCCAAATTCCCATTTTTATCCTTTCCATTAACATCCAATTCATCTTTTTGATTCGATTTGTTTTCGCAATCCGCGCAATCACCCGCTCCAACCGGAAGTGTCATTTCCTTCGTTCCCCCGTTAGTTGAGATGGAAAAATCGTCCTTCGAAGCCCTCCTTTTCAACAAATTATCGAAAGAAGTCGTCAGCGATCTCTTCGCCTTCATAAAAATCGTATTTCCAGCAACTCCCCCGCCGCCGATCCCCAAATATTGATTTAAAAATTCAGTTCGATTCTCGATGGAATCGTGGACGTGTCGGCCTTGTTTCATCTCGCAATGTGCCCTTAATAACATCATCAACAATTCGTTTTGGTCGCGAATCGAATCGGTTTCAACGCCGCGGTATTTTGTTAAGATTATTGTTTGCTCTTCTTCGTCTAATTGTTCGATTCTGCGATTTAAAATAAAATTTTATCGGTTAAATTAATTTGTGTTTAATAATTACCTCCTTATAATTGCCCCTTGGGTTTTTTTATCGGATAAATTCTCGATTTCGCAACATAATTTGTGGAACCAAACCATGGGGCAATGTTCGCAGGAAACGATCGTTGGTTTCGGTTTGTTTTCTACGCTGTTAAAAGATTGCGTAATCGCTAAAATAAAACAATAATTAGAAAATTGGTGTTAATTTAAAACGATTTAATTCAAAATTTACCACCAACTACTTCTGTAGATATCGATTGTGATTCGCATTTAAAAACATAACCGATAAAAGTGCCCAAATTGTTTCCTTCTTTTGAAACGAACCCGAAATGTTGCGAATTTTTAACTCCTCGCACGCAAGTTGTGATGTCTTTGTGATGTTTTTGTAATAAAATCACTTTTCTATCGGGGCTAATTAATCGTAAATCGGTCCTGTCGATTTGAAGAACCATCGTGCGGTTGTGATCATCGATTTTGGGTAAAATTGTTCGTTCTTTTGGGTTAAAATTTTTATCGAAACTCGCGTTATTATCGTTTTCATTCGTTTTTACATTCTCTAAAGTTGTACAATCAACGTCAGGCGATTTTAAGCCGATATCGGCTACAACCGATTGCGATCGCTGTAATAAATGGGGTCCTTTTACGAAAGAATCGTTTGTTTCGTTATGAATATCAACGGATCCGCGGCGAATAAACGATTCGCTTCGGAGTTTCTCCAAGCGTTTGCGTGCCTTCTCCAAATCGTGTGCTTTGAACTTTTCTAAAGCGTCGTCGATGAATGTGTCGGGAACCTTTTTGTTCCATACCTTTATTTTACCAATATACAAAACCTAAAATGAAAATAATTCAACGTTTATTAAAAATTTATCGAATCGAAACAAAATTTATTAAAATATGAATAAAAATTCGTAATCTAGATTAAAAATGCTTTAAAATGAGTCCAAACTCGATGGGGTTATCTTTAAAAACAACCAAGATACGATTGATTTAAAAATATTTTGACAGGTGATTCTCAATTGTTTTTTATTCATTTTTAGTTTGTAACTTTTTTGTTTTTTAAGATAACCCCATCGTGTTTGGACTCATTTTAAAGGATTTTTAATTCCCTACAACCCGAAAACAACNAAAAATATTTTGACAGGTGATTCTCAATTGTTTTTTATTCATTTTTAGTTTGTAACTTTTTTGTTTTTTAAGATAACCCCATCGTGTTTGGACTCATTTTAAAGGATTTTTAATTCCCTACAACCCGAAAACAACGACAACCCAAAATAACCATTTTTACGATCACTTCCGGTTTCTACATTGAGAAACTTTTGAGATAAATATTTTTTCTTTATTAATTGAAGATAACATAAGAAAAGAAATCAAGGAATTCATGAATTAAATTAATTATTAAAAAGTTATGTAAAAAAGCAATCAAATTAAAATCAAAATTTATTAAAATATGAATAAAATTTCGTAATCTAGATTAATAATGCTTTAAAATGAGTCCAAACTCGATGGGGTTATCTTTAAAAACAACCAAGATACGATTGCTTTAAAAATATTTTGACAGGTGATTCTCAATTGTTTTT